GGTGGCGTAATTCCCACATAGTGAGGTAGATATGTGGGGGCGTGTTCGAACGAGCCGTTTTAGGTAGGCGTGGTTGACTCGTTGACTCTTTTTATAAAGAATATCTCTTTGGATTTGAGACTTTAGTCTTTACAACTTTACAGATCTTCTTTATGCACCAAGAGCTTATAACACTCCAAAGAGAAAGGAAAAATTTTAATCGCATCATATGACCCCTTTAAGAGTAGTCTGTAACTTTTAGAAGCTACTCTACTGTTTGCAGGTCTGTTTCCCCAATGATTATAATGCTGGCTTGTGTAGCTGCTAGCAGCACTGACCCGTAATAACACATCACTGCCCTGCTGTTCAGTCATTAGTGTCTGTACACAGCCCAATTAACACAAGTTGTGTCCCAAATAGGGATGCACCGATACCGATACCGGCTTTCAGTTGATGCAAATGTGTTGACATAAAGTCAGACCGCAGAGAAAGATGTGCTTTGTTGATGTCTCACAGGAACTCCTTACTGTTCATTTGATTGCAAGAAACTAGTGGTGTTTGCTAAGGCAGGCTTTACTATTAATATTAATATTATAACTATTAATATTGCTCATGTAACAAATTAGCTCAAAAGGTAAATGTATATAAATAATTACTATTAATTATAATTAATTACAATTATTTATATCAGCTGCCAGTAGTAACTGTAGCAGAATTAATATTACCATCAACTAATCTTTTCGTCCAGCGAACATTCAGTGTAAATTCATATCAACTCTTAAGAAATTATATTTTCATGGCCATAGAAAGTAACTTTCTTACAGTACTAGTGCATTAGAGCAGAGGTCCCCAACCACCGGGTCACGACCCAATACCGGGCCGTGGAAGTGTTGTAACTTGCTACCGTGCCGCAAGAACGTTCTGGGACAAATGTGTATGACACCGTTATTTATTGGTGCGTTAATGATTGTTCTAATTATTTATTTTTTTTTTTTTTAATACACAAGTTTCACAATTTGAGTTGAATTACTGAAATAAATTAACTTTTCCACGACATTCTAATTTATTGAGATGCACCTGTAGTAGAAATCTGTAGAAAAGCTTACATTATCCATGTGCTTTCAGAAATAAACAGATGTAACATAAACATAATAAAAACTGGTCAGTATTTTACAGTAATTATATTTATATTTGACACACAATAGCATATGCTTGTAAATGAGGTATAAAACAGTGGTTCTCAACCAGAGAGCCAGGGACCACTAGGGAGCTTCAGCAAACTTCCAAGGGGGACCTAATAATTCTTAAAATATATTTTTATAAAAACTGTAAAAATTAATACCTTGTGATTCATTTGCATCAGAAGAGTAAGAACTTTCTCTAACTGGCACTGCATGAGCCACAGCATCCACTGGATGAGCAGAAGCTTGTGGACATAAGGCACATAGACTGAGGAGCCAAAAGTCTGTAGAACAGCCTCCCACAACTGAACCGGATCAGAACAGGAAACCTGAGATCCACCAGCCTCTAAAGCTACAGGAAAAAAACAACAACAAAACAACAACATAAAACACATACACAACCACTGCATATATTAATAATTTAAAAAATAAGACGATGTTATTTACCTCTTAATAAACTATTGGTGAGACTTTCCTCTATTTCACTTGCATTGGAGAAACTCAACGAGAATAAAAACGTATTATATGAAACTGTCATTTCAAGTTCGAGTCGTTCAGTAGCTGCTGGTATTCCTGTGTAAACAGAATATGGTTATGAGCTTCTAATACCACCTTACTTACAGCCATCAAATCAAAAGTAACACATGAAAATACCTTGAATTTTCTGCAGCAGTTTAAGGCTTTCCGACCAGCATCGCTTCCAAACATGCTGATTTGGTTCAAGGCCAAGTTCATTTTGCTGAAACGGTAATTCGGCACATGAGTATGTCTGCGTAAAGTCTAACATTACTGTAAACGAAAAAATATTAATTTCGCAACAATACCTTCCAAGTCAAAATTATGTTGTTATTCTCCTCACTCCATCTATCAACTAAACAGGGAATGACAGACATGACAAAGACCGGAAACAGAGGCAGTTAAATGGTACCTAATATTTCATATCTACTGTATAAAGCCACAGTCCATTCTGATTTCTGATTCAGTACCAAAGCCGCTCTCTGTCAGTACCTTCCTCATCTGATTCGAACTTTCCCTCCACTAAGTCTAAACAAATGATTAGCGATACAGCGCCTTCTACTGTTTGGGATGTATTAGTGAAAATATGCACATGGAGACATAATTTAAAAGGGTCATATGATGCTGCTAAAAAGAACAGTATTTGGTGTAATGAAATGTGTTTATGTGGTTTAAAGTAAAAAAAAACACATTATTTTCCACATACTGTACATTATTGTTTCTCCTCTATGCCGCGCCTTTTTGAAACGCGTAGATTTTTACAAAGCTCATCGGTCTGAAAAAGCGAGGTGTGCTGTGATTGGCCAGCTATCCAGTGCGCTGTGATTGGTCGAATACCTCAAGCGTGTTACTGTGATGGCGTGTCCCAGCCGGAGCGACGAGAAAAAACATTAAAACCCATTACAAACAAGGCATTTGTTGCATCCAGTGGGGACATAATTACTGATTATAATGGCTTATACTGTCGTTTTACGCGTTGCATTGCGCCGCGTAAACATAAAACCATGTCTGCATTTGTGATCGGAGAAATTACAAACAACAAGCCCTACTCTACACTGCCCAAAACTCGCGTTTGAATCATCAGTGGCAAATGATAAAAGAAAACATACTTACGTGAGTCAGAACTGCCGACATTTTAGTCTAACATTACTCTCCCAGGATCAGTAAACAGTCCTCCATAAAATGTGCCTGTGATCCACAGCACTAAGTTGAAGTATTCCCTCAGCGACCAGCACAGATCAGCTCTAGCTCTAGCACAGCGGCCTAGCGTGAGCGAAAGCCCCGGCTTAGCGTGAGCTGAGGCGGCGGGGTCGAGAACGGCAGTCCCGGCGAAGGAGTGGTGAAAACGGTGAAAGCCGATCCGGCGATCCACAGAACTAAGTTGATGTATTCCCTCAGCGACCAGCACGGATCAGCTCTAGGCATGACGAAGTGGATATCGTCCTCTTTTGGAAGACCAAAGTAGTTTCGCTTTCACAACGATACACACAGCGTCTTCAGGACATGGCGGCAGCGGCAACAACAATATTACAGCGAGAATAAAAGTTACGCCTTCTTTCTTTGCGTGAACATTTGGGTGGCGTTATGCAAATCTTCCCACATAGTGAGGTAGATATGTGGGGGCGTGTTCGAACGAGCCGTTTTAGGTAGGCGTGGTTGACTCTGACTCTTTTTTTATAAAGAATATCTCTTTGGATTTGAGACTTTAGTCTTTACAACTTTACAGATCTTCTTTATGCACCAAGAGCTTATAACACTCCAAAGAGAAAGGAAAAAATGAAATCGCATCATATGACCCCTTTAAACATTAAATTCGTTAGGGATGCACCGAAATGAAAATTCTTGGCCGAAGCCGAACAAAATTAAACACTGGGACAAAGGCCAAGGGCCGAATACCGAACACGGTTTTTCGAGTTTTTTCCCCAATGAATCAGGCATGTATTTTTTTTTTTTACTGTACAATTAAAAGCATCCTTGCTGAGAAGAGACTTCTTTTAAAACATTAGAAAAAATTACAGATCCTAATTTGAAAACTATGTGTGAATGTTATAATAAATGTGTTAAAACAGAGCTGTTGTAATGATTATTATCATTATTATTGTCTTACTTTTTATTTATTTGACAGAACAACAGTAAAATTACAATACTAACATTTATGAATGTTGATAAGAGTTCTTGCTTTTTCTCAACTTTTATTTTGGCGGAAACGCACAGGAAGACCTCAATGCTTATTTTTGTTGACAACAGATTTATAAATGAGTCACATATCGCATTGTCACGTCTTGTAAAAATTCATAAAAATGTGACTGAGCAACTGACGACTGTACCAGCGCAGATTTTCCTCGCGCTTTGGACTTTGAACCCTGGTTAACAAGCAGATCTGCTGCGAGGTCTTGCAGCGCTGTCAGAACACATGCAATGCGCGCGTGTATTAGAAAACATAACGTTCTGCAGTTTCTTTACTAATTGTTTAAGGCCATTTCGCGATTTCAATCATCATACAGTAACCAGCAACAATCACCCCTTCCTCTTCTCATTGAAGACATGCGATGCAGTCCTAAACAGTCTCTCGCTGTCGGTGCTTGTAATGATTTTTGCGTCTTTCTCCGACAGTTTAAATGCTTCCACACTGCTGGCGTGTGTGCTGCATAATAAAGAGTGCGCGCCTCTCATTCTGCGTCTTATCATTGTTCTGTACAATTTATTCGGTCTTTTCTCTTATTCGGTTGCCGAACATTCGGAGCATCCCTAAAATTCGTGATTTCAAATTATGCTGCGCTTTATGCATTTGCACACTGTCATATTCATGTCATTTTCACTGTGCGCTGTATGTAAAATTAGTGTTACCTTGGCTTTATTTGAAAAAAAATATTCCCAATGCACACAAATTTCCCAGAATACTGAGTGCTCTGTTGGTTACAGTTTACTTCTTTTTTTTTTATATATATTTTTATGAAATATTTATTTGTGAAAAATACTTTGTCATTTAAAGTATAAGTATGTTCATTTTACAAATATATTTTTAAATCCATTTTCAAATTATTTCAAATTTCTTAAATATTAATAAAAATAAATACAATTATATCGGCCATCCTGCTTTCCAAGATATCGGCATCGGCTGTGT